TGGGTGGATGGATGGGTGGATGAATGGATTGAAGTGGATGGATGGGTGGGTGGATGAATGGATGGGTAGATGGATGGATGGATGGATTGAATTGGATGGATGGGTGGGTGGGTAGGTGGATGTATGTATGTATGTATGTATGGGTGGGTGGGTGGATGGATGGATTGAATTGGATGGATGGATGGGTGGGTGGGTGGGTGGGTGGATGTATGGGGAGGTGGATGGGCAGGATCTGTATCAGTAGATGAATAGATTAGTAAGTGAGTGTGGGGATTAGAGATGGTGTGTGGGGATATGTGTCATGGCCTTCCTGAGCTGGAGACTGACTCTGTGCTTTGGGCTCTGAGCACTAAGAGTACAGCCACAGGATTCCCTGCAGACCCTGACCTTTCTTGGTCTTACCCCTGACAGCATCCCTGGGAAAGGGCCCTGGAGGACACGATTCTCTGTAACATCTCCCTTTTCCAAGCACCTTGTTCTGAGCTAAGCACATTGATTGATAACTCTGGAATCCCTCAGTAACTATGATAGATACAGTCATTTCAGCAGGGGAGATGGCCCAAGGTCACCTGGTTTGAAAAGGCTGACTCCACGAATCAGGTGCGCCTTTAACCCCTGAACTTGGGAAGCAGAGGCATGTGGATCTTTGTGAGTTGGAGACCAGCCTGGTGTACAGAGTGAGCTCAAAGACAGCCAGAGCTTCAGTCAGACCCTGACTCAGAAAGACCAACCCCCACCCCCAAGAAAACCTGCCTCCACGATCTGAGCATGCTGCAACAGGATGAAGAGGTGCGTGCTTGCCCACACTGGCTGGTTCCTCCTGGAGCCTTTTCCCACCTCTAGCAATCTCAGGGATGGTGTGGCCAGGACAGGTCACAATGGGATTCTGAAAGTTCTTGGTTCGGATGCCACAAGTTTGTACCCCGTAGGAACTTCATGAAGACAGCTTTCTTTCCTGTGGACACTGACCAAGACTACACATTGCCTGAGATCTGACCACAGACTTGGGTTTGGTGAGTGTGAGGTCACTGTAGGCCTGCTGGACCTATGTGAGTGTCCAGCATACTTGGGCAACAGGGAAGGCGGCCTGGTCTGAGCTGCTGGGGCTACATAGAGTGGCTGGCCACAGGGGTCTCATTGAAGACATGTCTCATCACAGACTGGGAGCCAGAGTATTAATATGAAAATTCAGAAAGTTTAATTGTTGGATAAAATGTAGTTCATCGTTTTTCTCCTTCTTGGCAATGCTAAAGGTGGGACCCAGCACCCTGCCCACGGCATTCTACCACTGAGCTACACCCCAGCTCCACTCCTAAATATATATTTTTAGTGCTTTGAGTTTGACCAACTCATAATGGACTACTAATTAAGACCCCTTTCTGAGGCCAGTGATTAGTACCCGGCGAGATCAAGAATGGAGCCCTGGAAACTTCCAGGGAGTGTCACCACTTCTGGCTAGAATAGCAGGTGTGTGCCTCTCCCTATGACCTCTATGACCAGGCTGGCACCACTACCATGGCCAGAAAACCTCTCCCACCTGAGTGGGACCAGGAATAAATAGAACGCTGTCCCTGTCCAGGGAGCCATAGACCCAGGGAAGAGATAGCAGCCATACACCCTGAGAGACACTTGTGCCCATCACCTGGTCTGACCCCACCACCACACAGAGAGGTAGCTGACTCAGTGTGAAAGCCAACTGGTGTCAGCCACCGATAGGATGGCATCCCTGGGCATCTCCCCTGGGTGAGTGATCCCCTGAGTGCTAATGAGTTGCTTCCAACATGTCTGAAGGATTTCCATGATAACAGCAATCTGCAGCCCTGGGACCTTTCTTTACTCTCACTTGGATGGAGTTCAGCATCCGGAAAAAGACAGCGGAGCAGGGTCACCCTGGGGTCTAGGAGTCTCAGGAGCTGCAGTGTGATTGGCTCAAAGCAAAAGCCTTTGAATCTAAGTACTGGGGTTGTTCATGAGACTTACTGGTTATTTTTTTTTTTTTCCTGTATGGCCTTTGGCTGTCATTTTGTTCAAAAAGTACAGTCCTCACTTGCTCAGTCACAGGCTAAGTGACAATCGGGGCTGGCAATGTGAGGGAGGTCAAGGTGTCAGTGGTCAAGGGTATCTCCTCTTGTCTCCAGAACACCAAAGGTTGGGAACAGAGCAGAGCTTGGGTGTCAGGGACTCAAGGCCTGCCTGGGCTTTTCCAGGCTTAGTTTGCTTGGCTGCAGAGTGGCCTTCCACCTGAGGAATGAGGGTGTCCTTGCAGTGTGGGCTTTAGGTGGTTTGCCATGACCCCTAGGTGTTTAGGGGTGCATACAGAAGACTTCATTAAACCAGGAGGAAAGAAAGACCTGCCTTCAGGGGATGAGGGAGGGCCTGCAGAGTCCATGCCATTAGCAGACAGCCTCCTCTCTTATTTGACCCTAGAGGTCAGGTCCAACAAGGATGTGATTTCTAACAACTTTATTTTATTTTATGTGCATTAGTGTGAAGGTGTCAGGTCCCTTGGAATTGAGGTTACAGACAGTTTTGAGCTGCCATGTGGGTGCTGGGAATTGAACCCAGGTCCTTTGGAAGAGCAGACCAAGCTCTTAACCACTGAGCCATCTCTCCAGCCCCTTCTAACAACTTTTTAGAATAGAATACATACATACATTGCCCATACAATGAAGCATACATGCTCTAAGGCTTTCTCAGGCCTGACAGATGTCACCACAGTTTCCATCAACATTAGAAAATTCCCATACCCCTTTGGTCTTTTCCTAGGCCACTTCCAATGCCTTGTCCACTGGTTCCATTCAACAGCTACTGAGTTTCCTCCTTCTTTCCCTCCTTCCTTCCCTCCCTAAAGGAAATCCCCCAACTCTCCATCCAGGGCCTCTGTGTTATGCAGGCTATGAGAGGGTCCCTTAGGGATAGAGATATGTTATTGTTTGATCCCACATGTCCTGAGAATATTATCAATAATATCAGAGGACCAAAAGTTGGGTAACCCAGTGACCGCAAGTGTGCTGGCTAATTTTATGTCCACTTGACACAAGCCAGAGTTGTCAGAGGAGGGAACCTCAATTGAGGAAATGCTTCCCTAAGAGCTGGCTGTAGGATATTTCCTTAATTAGTAATTGATGGGGGAGGGCCCAGCCTATTGTGGGTGGGACCACCCTGGACTGATAGTCCTGGGTTCTATAAAAAAGCAAGTTTAGCAAGCCTTGATGAACAAGCCTATAAGCAGCACCCTCCATGGTCTCTGCATCAGCTCCTGTCTCCAGGTTCCTCCTATACCCTCGATGCTTTTAGTGAGGAACTGTTAATATGGAACTGTGAAGGAAATAAACCCTTTCCTCCCCAAGTTGCAGCTGCCATGAGAAACAGTTCAGTTTCTCCTCAGTAAATTAAAATTGCTGGCAGTGTCAGCAATGTGGGGGGCTTTCGAACCCCAGTGGATATACCCTGCTTATGGTGAGGGTCTGGTCTTGGAGAGCCATAGTAAATTGAACATATCAAATGTCATAAATGCAGTTTTTATCTGGGGGCTAGTGAATTGGCTCAGCAAGTTAAGGCACTTGCTGCCTGATGAGATAACCTGAGTTTGAGCCCTAGAACCCAGATGGTAGAAAGAATGAACCGTTATCCTCTGACTTCCACATGCATGCCCGTGTGTGTGTGTGTGTGTGTGTGTGTGTGTGTGTGTAAAGGTTTACATGATATACACAAACATATAAGTAAGCATAAAAACAAACAAAAAACCCGCTGAATGAAGGCGTTTAACATATCTCACCAAATAGCCATCCCAGGCCAGCCTCTCCTGCTCTGTCAGGCAGCTGGGCAGAAGCTCATCCTGTTCTTATGACAAATTGTTGACTAGTTCAAGTTGTTTATTGACTGTGTATTCCCCCCCCACACACACACCCAAATGCTGCCTGCATAGCCCCATGTAGAGGAGCAGCCAGTTCTCTCGTGACCCTGAGGCTCATGGGGCTGGACCTTTACACTGCTCAGCACTGTGAGAAGACTTAGTCTGCGAAGAACTGAATTCAGATTTAGAGTGTGGTTTCCACTGCAAACATGGAGTTGAGGGCCATCTGCAAATACACACACAAACAAGTGGACACACATGGTCTGTACAGGAGCACACATGCACATGGATACGTGGAGATGCGCATGTGTGCAAACATATATACTGGTATTTAGGACACGGAGTGGGGCTGACTTGCGCCCATAATTAAAGCACCAGACCATGTGTTTGCTCTTTGGCATCCTCCTGCCCTCTCCCTCCCTTCTGGGCCTCAGCAGAGTTCATCTGCACACCTGGGTCAATCCCAGTGCTCCAGGAGCCCAGCGGGGCAACACTAGCCACTTGGATGTGGATGTGTGGAGGGAACTCAGGGGTGGGGTATGCAGGGAGGTGAGGAATCTGCCTGCTCGCTTCCTCTAGCTGGCTACTGAACATTGAGGTTTGAGCTGTGACTGCTTGGAAACAAAGAAAAGGATTCTCAGACTAAAAATCACACCTGTGCAAGCTGCACCTTTGGGAGAGGCCAGGCTGAGCACAGGGGGAGGGTGAAGGACTGCCTTTTCTTTCTCTTGCTCCTTGAAACAATCTTGTGGGAGTTCCTGGTGGACAAGAGAGAGCCCGGGTCACCATTTCTAGGGCTTCTTTGTTGGTGGTATCGAGTCTCTCTCTGGATAATGGGGGTCTTTGGAACTGCATGAGATGGGACGCACAGCTTCCAAGATGGCCTGAGAACTGAGCCTAACTTAGGCTCCCCACACTTAGGCATGATTGCATCCTGTTAGCCACCCCGTCCTGCATACACTAAGGAGCAGTGGGGATCCTGCGAGCAGCCCTGAGACGGAGCAAACTCCCAGCTGGCCACAGTTGCAGTGCTGCCTTCCTCTTCCTTGGAACTGGGCCCAGGTGCTCAGACCCGCTTCTTCCACTTTCCCTGTACCCCAGCAAATACCTCACCTCTCGCTCTTATTCTTGGCCCTTCATGCAGGTAGCAAGGTGGGAGCAGAGAACTCGCAAGTTGAGCAGGGCCTTCGGGTCCCCCTACCTAGCCTGCTATTTCCTGGGCAGCGTCATCCTGCTTCTGAACGGCCTCCGCTCCCACTGGTAAGCCCTGGGCCACCATCAAGGCTGTCATCCATGTGAAAATTATGGAGTGTCAGGCTGCATAGGAGGGCAGTGGGATCTGATTTTCAGCTGCGGCTCAAGACTAGTTTGTCTACTTCCGAGCCTTGGGTCCATTTCTCAACCCATGGATTTCATCACACGCCTTGTGCATAGACAGGCTGAAGGAAACCTGTGTCTGCTTTGGGAAGCAGAGAAGGCAGTGTGGGGAATCCTCCTTCCTGACTTCGTGTTGCAGTTCAGAAGCTGAGAGTGCTTAAGCTGAAAAGGGACCCCGTGTGGACTGGTCACTGAAGGGAACCCCTTAGACAGGGCGTGCACACCTGGTCTCTCCACTTATCCTGGCTTGGCTCTGTGGGTGCAGGCTGCACCATGAGATGGCCATCTAGTCACCCAGTGTCTGGTGTTTGGGAAACCAGGCAGGGATCTGAGTGACGGGCCCAGGTCCCTCATTTTCTAATTCTGCAGGCATCTGGTCAAGCTTCCCCATGGCAGGACATCAGACTGAAGACCCTTGAATTTTCTTCCCTCCTGTAGGCCAATAGTGTGTGTGTGGGGGGAAGCAAGGGTCTCCTCAGCTTGTCTGTCTGCCAGAAGCTTGTTCATGCCCCTGGTCTTGAAGGCTTAGGCTGCTCAACATCTCCAGGCTGGACAAGTACTACAAAGGTCATCATCCATTGAGAGAACGATCCTGGGCTAGCTGGCACATGAAGGCTCTTTTGTGGGGTAGCCTTGTCCATCTCCACCATGGGGTAGAGGCCCAGAACTCCCCTGAACTGTCCTTATCCAGCAGGTTGCATTAAATCTACCCATGTTCAAGGGTGTAGTTCAGTGACACTAAACAGTTCTGTGGTATCTTCTAACTGTTGCCGCTACCCACCTCCAGAACCTTTTTTTAATATATATATATAATTTATTCATTGTATATCCTGATTGAGCCCCCCCAACTCCTCCCAGCCCCACTCTCTCTCCCTCTTCCCCTCATCCCCTTCCCCTAGTACACTGAAAGGGGAAGTTCTCCTCCAGTGCTGTCTTCCCATAGCTTATCAAGTCTCATCAGGACTGCCTGGATCCTCTTCCTCTGTGGCCTGGTAAGGCCTCATTGCCAGAGGCAAGTGATCAAAGAGCAGGCAACTGAGTTCATGACAGAGGCAGCTCCTGCTTCCCTTACTTGGGAACCTACATGGAGACTGAGCTGCCAATCAACTACATCTGAGCAGGGGGCCTAGGTCCTCTCCATGCATGGTCCTTGGCTGGCGCATCAGTTTCTGCAGGACCACCTAGGCTCAGATTTTTTAGCTTTGTTGGTCTCCTTGTGGGGTTCCTGTCCCCTCTATGTTCTTCTGTCCCCTGCTTCTTCCATAAAACTTCCTGCACTCTGCTCAAAGTTTGGCTGTGAGTCTCAGCATCTGCTTCGATCCCCTGTTGGGTGAAGCCTTTCAGAGGACCCTTGATAGTAGGTTCCCATCCTGTAGAACCTTTTTACTTTACAAAGCTGAAACTCTACAGCTTTTAAGCATTATCCCCCTCCCGTGTGCTGGCCCTGGTTCCCCACTCTTCTGTCTCTCACATCCCTTCTCCAGGAGGTTTGTGTGGGAGGAGACAGGGGGTGTGACCAGTCTACTGTACTCAGCATAATGACCTCCTAGGGGGAGTGCACATATCGGAACTTTCTCCTTCCCAAGACTTAGTAACATCCTGCTGTGTGAGTGGGTTCTGCCCATCCATCCACCTGTGACCCTAGTAGCTCCCTTGGGAAGTGCGGCCGTGGGCATGGTGTGCAGGTACCCGAGTATCTTCTTAGTTCCTTCAAGAGCATTCTTAGAAGTGATTTTCTGCCTCACAGGGTCACTCGGTTCATGTTTGAAGGAACTGCCACACTGTTTTCTACAGTGGCTGCTCTTCTCTGCATCCCACCAGCAGCTCATGAGTGGTCCCTTTTCTCCATACTCCTGACAACACTGAGCTCCCTGTCTTTCTGACAGTGGCCATCATAATAGAAGGGTAGCAACTTGCCTTGGTTGTGATAGGAAGGTCTTCCAAGCATCCCTGGCCCAAGAGCCTTCTCTGGATTGTAGTGTGAATCAAAGCCAGCCTGAGGATGGCTGGTCCCTGGTCAGCCTCAGCTCTGACCCTTAATCCTGGTGACCCTGAGCAGGTTACCTCTGCAAGCATTGGCTTCCTCCTCTGAAATGGATTGGTAGTCTCTTTTAGGAGGGTGTTAGGAAAGCAGGAGCCAGGGTGGGCTCACTGGCATGAATGCCTACATTCAAGGGGACCTTATTGGGGCCAGGAGGGTGGGGCCAGGGAAATGGCATCACAGCCCAGCTTGGGCCAAAGTAGGCCACCATGGGGAGAGGAGTCAGTGGAAGGAACAGTGAGCTGAGCAAGGTGGTACTTGCTGTGGCCCCAGCTACCCGAGAGGCTAAGAAAGGCATAATGATTGAACCCAGGAGTTCAAAGCCTGCTTGGGCCACATAGAAAAAATTTCCCAGCAGGTGCAGAGACCCCCAGGAAAAGCAGGCAGAGGCTGCTTCTGTGCCTGGACTAGACACCTTCTCGAGCACTGGAGTCCAGGAGAGCTGGAGAGACCCTGTCCCTTGGTCCCCTGGTTGTACCCCTTCTAGTCTCTACCTAGCATCTCACTATCACCAATATCTAGGTGTAGGTTCTGTGTGTGTGTTAAGGTACACACAGGCCAAGACCTGGCACACAATTTGGTGACATTTGGTGGTTCCCAGTCTTGTGAAGTCCCCTCTTTTGTCTGTTCTCGATCATTTTCTCCATTTCAGTGGAGCCCCTGCCTACCGGTATGAAGCCTGGGCTCCGTCTCTAGCACAGAAACAGGCACCGGGCTGACCCATGGCAAGGTCAGCATTGCAGAGGCTGGCGGGCGATGCTAACTGACTCATCAGCCCTATGCACTGTCAAGCCACCTGCCAACTTTGTTCTGGAAGCTTCCTCTGACTTTGTCCTCATCATGGGGATGTTATGACCCCAGATGGTGAGTGAGTCAGCATGGTAGAACACATGAATACTTGGGCCACAGTGGCTGGCGAATCCCTAGGACTCACCACGCACCACTGGCCTGCACTAGCGGTGGTCTAGGAGGACACCGGGTGGGATAAGCTAACTCAGTATTAGGAGGTTAAGGCAAAGTCTAGACTCAAGAGAGCAATTCATATAGAACTCTTTACTCTGGCTGTTTCCGGCTATGCCTTGAGTGAGGAGGGAGCCTGCTGGATGGAGAGGCATCCACTGAAACTCCTTCCCCAGCAGGGTTGCAGCAGGCCTGAGCTGCAGCCCTCTCATGGGCCACAAACTAAAGAAAGGCCCCTGGGCATAGTGTGGATGACTGGGGTTGCTGGGCACCAGGGAACCACTTGAATCTTTTTCCCTTGCTGGCTCTTAGCAGTGGTCCCTGAGTGTGGCTGGAGAATCAGAGAGGGAACCTGAGTTGGGTTTCCTTGATTCCAGGAAGGAAAGAAGGAAGAAAGGACAGCCAGAATGGTGCTCAGGTAGAGCTGGGTCTGTCCTCTCGGCTGAGGCCCCAACACAGCCTGGAGTTCTGAGTGACAGTGCTGTGTGTCTGTTGCCTTTCTCATGGCGAGGCTGAGGACCTGCTTGCTCACAGGATCAGAGAGGAAGGAGCAGCCTATGGCCTGCCTCCTATACCCACACTACTGCCCTCCTGCCGGGTATAGGAGACAAGATGATTTGGGGCTTAGGGAAACTCCGAGACAGTGCTTTGGTTAGTATAGCAAGGGAGCCATGCATTCCAGCTCTTGCTAAGGGGATAATGTAACTTAGCTGATGATTTGTTGCCCTCTATATTCTGTCCCTGTGCTCTGTATTAGGAAAATACACCCACCAGATGCTCGTTCCCTGATCTTACTTGACCAATCTGGACTTTGAAGAGAAGCCTGAGGGAGAGACTTCAGGCCACCCTATGCATGGCTGTCCGCAAATGCAGCCCACTGGTGACACTCTAGAAGCCCAGGGATAGGAGACAGCCTCTCGGGAGCTGCGCACACCTCAAGTGGCCCACGGTCTGGTGTGAGGAGCAGAGCGCAGGCAGCCCCCAGTCTCAGTGCTGATGGAAAATTCAACCCAATTTAAGAAATAGAACCCAGGGGGCTGGAGACATTGCTCAGTGGTCAGGGCCACTTGCTATTCTTCTAGAGGACCTGGATTCAATTCCCACATGGAGGCTCACACCATCTGTAACTCCAGTTCAGGGGGATATGACTTCTGGCTTCCACAGGAACCAGGGACAGGAGTGGGGCACAGACAAACATACAGGCAAAACATACATACACATAAAACACGATAAAATTTAAATTAAAAAAAAAAAAAAACAGAACTGAAAGCCCAGGAGCGAATCTCCATCCCTGAAACCCCAGTGCAGACTAGCTCTGAAGGAAAATTGTTCCTGCTGCCCCGCTCTGCTGTGAAATGTGGCCACAGAGCTGCTTGGTCCCAGTTAATTCTCCCCATGGGATGGACTATGCTTTCTTGCATTTGAAAACATATAACCAGCCACCTAACTTAGACACCAATTCTAGTGACCCTCCATATGTCACATGGAGTGTGGGCCACTAAGCCAGAATGAGACACACTCCCCACGACACACACACACACACACACACACACACACACACACACACACACACACAC